CTACTCAGGAGGCTGAGAGGTGGGAAGATCAATTGAGGCCAGGAGTTTGAGGCTACCATGAGCCAGATCACACCCTGCGCACCAGCCTGGGTGTCAAAGCAAGACCCTGTCTCAATAATAATAATAATAATGGGTGTTTAACTTAACATGTATGTAGATGTTTTAATTAATACCTATCTTGAGTTAGATTCTATACATTTATGTTTTTATTTTAAATACTCTTTTCCAAACCACTTCCCACCTCCATATATGAACACACATAAACCCACAAGCGCCATTTATTCTACAGGAATTTGTTAATTATCATTTGCATGCCTTGCTGTGTCTAAGATCCTAGGAAGGCAAGAAAATAAAATAAAAAAGAAAATATGTTACCTTTGAACTCAGGGAGTTATAGTCTAGTATAGAAAACTGACCACACAAAAAACAACTAGTCATGTTCTAAGCCAACATGGGAACATGGGCAAGATAAAAACAGAGTCTAACCTTCACAGATTGAGGAACCCTGGTGTTTAAATGTTGACTCTATTGTTTTCATGATTTAACTCCTCCAAGTAGAGAGCTTGATATTTAGCTAGACTGAAAGGAAACACAACTGCCCTTTGCATTTGCTCCGCCTAACGCATGCAGTGGCACAGATTGCTAATCTGCTCTGTGTACCGCCTCAAACTTTTTTCCCATTGGCTTGTGAGTACAGACATAGCTTCACTCTGTTAGTCACAAAAGACTCTTGAAGACAGGAAGGAACTGTGTCATCTATTTCTTTGCTTCTCCTACAGGGCCCAAAGCCATGTCATCTAGTTGTAAACAATAATGTAGCCCCTGCTGTATACTACGCCCTACGTGAGATGCTACGGTTGTAGAGATGGCCGATATCCCTGCCTTCACTCAGCAAACATTTCTTGGGCATTCCCCAAATGATAGGCCCCATCCTAAGAGCTCTGTGTACATACATAAGTGGCATTCTCCCTCTACACTCAGGAGTAATGCCCCAGTGAAGAGGGCAGATATCTGTACTGTGTTAATTTGCAATGGCTGCAGTAACAAAGTACCACAAACTGGGTGGCTTAAACAACAGAAATTTATTTTCTCACAGTTATAGAATTATAAATCCAAAGTCAAGGTGTCAGTAGAATTGTTCTCTTCTGAGGACTGTGAGGGATGAATTTGTTCCATGCCTCTTACCTAGCTTCTCGTGTTTGCTGGCAGTCTTTGGTATACCTTGGCTTGTAGAAGAATTGCCCAATCTGTCTTATCTTCGTGTGGCATTCTCCCTGTATGTGTGTCTCTGTGTCCCTATTTCTCCTTTTTATAAGGACGCCAGTCATATTGCAGTAAGGGTCCACTCTACTCTACTGTAATATCATCTTAACTAATTATTTCTACAACAACTCTATTTCCAAATATGGTAACATTCTGAAGTATTGGAAGTTAGGATTTCAACACGTAATTAAGAGGGGGATAGAGGTAACCCATAACACATACTAAAAAGGAAACCCAACATGGCCAATCCCGTAATAGGGGAATATATGAAGAGCTGGGGGGCACGCGAGAGCACATGGCACTGGGTTTAATGGGTATGAGGACAAGCATCAGAGAAAAATTGAACAAGTGGCCAAAGCTTGGTTGGACTAACGGGTGTTTTCCAGGTGGGGAAAGGAGAAAGAGATTTTGATTAAAGACACATTTTTGAGAGGTTGGAGCACTTGGGAATTGCAGAAAGTCTTATGGGGTAAAGACCAAAGATGGGGCATATAAAGAAGAAGGGAGTTAGAAGACCTAATCCAAAAACAAAGAGACGCTATGGAGGGTTTCAGGAGGACACTATTCTGGTTTGCATCTGCATACTAGAAATCTCACTCTGGTAAGAGTGTGGGTGGGCGCTGAAAAGGGTACCATGGAAGCAGAGAGACCAGTTAGAAGCCTATTTACAAGTCTGAGCAAGAGATTATGAGGCTCTAGATACATTAAGAGCAGTGGAAATGGAAAAGGGGGAGGGGCTTCCAATGAAACATTTTAAACAGAATGATGAGTCCCAGCAAACAGCAATTTAGGATAACTTCAGTGTGAATGGAGAGGATGGATGTGAGGCTGGTGAGTGATGTAGGGCCTGAGACATGGAAGATCAGAGGAGAAGGAGAAGGCTCATTTGTAGGAGGGAGAAAGACAGATTTGAGCCAAACCAGAGGATACCAACATCCTATTGGCCAATCCTATTTGTAGGATTTCCACTCTCCTAACCCAGCTTTACTCACACTTACTATCTAACTCCCACATGCAGTTCTGCACTTGACCTTGACCTTTAAAGGGCATGGAAAATATGTTTACATCATTTCCAAGCAAGTTACACTATTGTTCCCTAAATTGGGACCCAAAAAAAAGAGTCTACTAAGGGAGTATGGCCCCCATGGGTTGAGGAGACTTGATGTCACAAGACCGGTGATGTCATCACATCCACGTCCTTTGCCAGTCCAGAAAAATGCTCACCAGTTTGCCACACAGTTATTGCAGACACAGCACCACTGTCCAATGCCTGACTTCATCTGCTGGCCATGATATCTAATTAAACACATTAGAAGTTGCAAAGTCTCTCAGAAATTGGAAACCGGTTAAAATTTAATTCCAGATAAAAAGGAGGAGGTAGAACCCCTCGAAATGCCCACCATCAGACCCAGAGGAGTGGAGTAGCTGGGAAGAGAATCATCTTGAGTTTCTTCACTTGGACTGGGCACTCAGGCCACAATGTTGTACCCCTGAAAGTAGGTTCCTTCCTGCTATCTTCATTTTCCATTCTTTTCTATTTTTGTCCTAGCGATGAGCAGTCTCTAACCTAACCTAGTGTACTATGGTAACTAATAAGCAAACATAACGATCACAAACACATATTTCACACTTATTCAGCATGAGCTAGGGACTATTCTAAGCAAGCCATACATTGTCAAGTGCCACAGAACATTTTAGCCAATGCAACGGTGGTCCCATAAGATTACAATACTGTATTTTTACTTATGTTTCCTGTTTAGGTACACAACTACTCACCACTGTGTTACAACTGCCTACAGCATTCAGTAGTCACATGCTGTACAGGTTTGTACCTAGGATCAATAGCCTACGCCATATAGCCTCAGTGTGTAGTAGGCAGAACCATCTAGGTTTGTGTAAGTACACCCTGATGTTCACATGCAAGGCAAAATTGCCTAAGGATGCATTTTTCAGAAGAGACACATAACTGTACTCCAATTCATTTAAGTCTCCTAATAACCTTAGGAGGTAGGTTCCATCATTATCTTTATTTAAAGATGAGGAGGCTGCAAAGTCCATAAGAAACCTTCCACTGAACCACGGGGAAAAGAACTCTGGTCTAAACCCACAAGGCAAAGTATGTCTGAGGGTTCTTAATTCCAGCAAAGGAAGGGAGGGGTTAAAGAGCAGGATTAACTTACAAGGAAAGCTTTGCTGCCTGGGCAGGCAGCTCCTGGTGGATTTCCTGAACACTCGGCAGGGTGGAGACGCCTCTCCCATCAGATTTGCACTTTACTACACTGCGGAGTCATTAAATAGAGAAGCCAGGAGTTCAGGGCTCCCTCCCTCCTCCCCAAAAGGAAAACTGGGTGTGGGGCGGGTACATTACCTCACAGGATATCGGAGAAAGCCTAAATGTGTCCTCCAGTGATTCATTTGGGTGGACGACTTTCACACCAAGCTAAACTCAAAATTTCGGAGTGGGGTCATCAGGGCCCCTCCCTCCCTGAGTGCAAAAAACATTTCCTTTTTTTAAAGTACAAGCAGAGTTGGAATCAAACTTCTTCCAAACAGGAAATCAGCAGGATTCTAGGTAAAACAGATGCCTTACTTTTCAAGGTCAAGATCTTTCCTTCCCCAACAGGATGTTTCCTGAGCGCCTACTATGTGCCAGGCACATAGTAGGTAGTTGTTATGAATCTTGATGTGTCCTGCGCTCTACAGGCGGTTGGGGGCGAAGGGAACACAAAGAGAGAAACGATACCAACATTGCCACCCCCGCCTCTCCCCCCCACACTCATTTGGCAAAACTTACAGGGAAAAGGGGGTTTTAGGGGGCTTGTGGTGTCTTTAAAAAAAAAAAAAAAAGAAATGGTAACAAGAGGCTTCGGGGCCCCTCGCTTGAGTCCCCTGAAGTGTCTGGACTGAGAACTAGGCAGGGAAAGTGGGAGGCCTGAGCGAGGGGGAGGGCGCAGGCAGTGGGTGGGTGACAAGGTGCAAGGGCAGCGCCGGCCGCGGGTCAGGAGTTGGCCGTCAGCTGCGCCAGAGGCAGGTGCCAGCGGAGAGTGGGCGGGGGTGCCGGCGCCAGGCCAAGCTCGGGGAGGCCCCGCGCTACCTCTGCCTCTAGGAGTCCAGGCGCGCAGACGAGCTCCCCGGAGCCGCTCCTGCTTCGCCAACTCCCCACTCCCGCCGCCTGTGCCAGCCGGCGAGCACTGGCGTCCCTGCCGCCCGCAGAAGGAGTCGCGGGAGCAGTCGCCGCCGCCGCCGAGCGACAGCATCCTCGGGAGAGACTCCCCGGGCTCCGCAGCCGGCTGCCTCCGCCCACCCTCCGCGCGCCTCTTCGAGGTCGCCCCCTGCCCCGTCGCCCGTCCGCCCGCCGTGACAGCCGGTGCCAGAGCCCCGGGGCCCTTCACCTGCCGCGGGCGCCCGGGCGGGCGGGCGCAGGGGAGAAAAGGCGCAAGAAGCGGGCACCCGGGGAACCCCATTCCCTTGGTTCACTCGGCGCGGAGAAACGACGTCCGCTGACACCGAGAGCCCCGGCGCTCCGTGCACCTGGTCCCCAAGTTCAGGAGCTACACCCCTTCACGAGGCACTAGCCCGCGCGGGGAGCATTCCGGTCCCCTCGACCCCTGCTCGCCCGCGGGATTCCGGGCGCCTCTTCTGCCCGCGCCCCGGGACCCGGGAGACGGCCGGCCCAGCCGCGGAGGCGCCCCCTCGGCCGGCACGCCCCGCCGCCCCGCGCCCCGCGCCCCGGCTGGGCCATGCCCGGGCTGCGCCGGGGCCGCTTGCTGACCCTGCTGCTGCTGGGCGCGCTGCTCTCCGCCGACCTCTACTTCCACCTCTGGCCCCAAGTGCAGCGCCAGCTGCGGCCCCGGGAGCGCCCGCGGGGGTGCCCGTGCGCCGGCCGCGCCTACCTGCCCGCGCCGGACTCGGCCGCAGCCGCCTCGGACCCCGGCACGATCGTGCACAACTTTTCCCGAGCCGGGACCCGGACTGAGCCGGCTGGCGGCAGCCGCAGAGACTCGGGCTCCAAGCTCCAGGCCCTCTTTACCCACCCGCTGTACAACGTCGCGGAGGAGCCGCCTCTCGTGGGACCCGAGGACTCGCTCCTGGCCAGCCAGGAGGCGCTGCGGTATTACCGGAGGAAGGTGGCCCGCTGGAACAGGTGAGGACCCCGTCCGCGACGCGGGAGAACCGGCGCTCTAGCCGGGGCCTCCCAGCGCCCGGGTCTCGAGTCCCCTGCCGCCCCCGGCCCAGGGCTGCGGCGGCTCCACCCAAGGCTCCAGCCCTGGCGCTGGGCGTAAGGTGTGTTCCCCACCCGAACCCCACCAGCTGTTGCAGACTCCAGTCCCGGAGTCAGAGAGTGCCAGGAAAAAGTTTCTGTGCAGCCGCGCCGCGAGGAAACCCTCTCAGCCCCTCTCCTTGAGCGCCTGGGTCGTCCTGGAGCCCTAATCCTGCTCCCTCGTCCACTCCCAATCCCCTCTCTCTGTCCTGATGTGGAGGAAGCCGCCGCTGGACTTGGGGGTTTCCAGAATGAGGCCCCAAATAGGGCGACTCCAGAGCTAGTTGTAATTTAGCACTTAACTGGGCTCTTTGGGTAAACCTGGCCGCTTCCCAAAAAGCGTGCTTCTCCCCAAAACCCAGTCCTTTCCCTTTCCCTCTGCCCAGTGTCAGAGATCACAAGGGGGTCACCTGAGGCAGGAAGTAAATGGTCAGTTCTCTGCCGCAGCCACCCCATTGTTCACGTTTAAAACGCGGCTTGGACCCCTGCAGCAAGTATTAGAACTTGAAGGCAGTTTTATCATCTTGTATTATTCTGGTGATTTGGACTGACTTGGATCTGCAACTTGATGCTTCCACAGAGGAGATAAAAATCTGCCAGGGACTTTTTAAAACCCAAAGCAAAATACAGAAGAAAAAATATCAAATATATTTAGGATAAAGTTAAGAAGAATCTTTTTGGAAAAGGATGGAGGTGTTGGGGAAGGCAGCATTGGTCATTAGTGAGATCCCTTGCTAATGGCAGAAAGCCTCCCTATGAGTTAATGACTCTGCTTTGAAGTACAGAACTTGTCTAAATACCACTCACATGCAGAGTTCACTAGCGCACCGCACCCGTCTCTTTACTTAATACAAGAGATTTCAAAGTGAGATGTCACCGGTGGTTTTATCGTCCCTCCGGAGGATGAACAGACCATAAATCTCTCTTGAAACTCAGAGTTGGGCCAATTTAACTGTTTGCTCATTATTCGGTAATGCTGAGATTGGAGGGAGGAAAAAAAAAACCTTCAGAAAAATTTGGCAAAGAAGTTGAGTGATTGGCTGAATCACTGTGGTCAATTTCAGTAGCAAGTCTATGGCTCATGATTTTATTTTAGAAAGAAAGTGATTCTCAATTCCATTGTTAATTGTGTGCAGTAATAAAAGGCAGTTTGAGATTGCTTCTCAGACCCTCTCATTTTCAATATTATCTTTATTTCATCAATAACATGGAAGTCTGGATTAGTGAACCAGGAAATTTTGCCATTAGAGAAAGCATCTACATGTCTACTGTGGATTTGAGAATGCAAGGCTGTAGACAAAGTCACTTGCTTTTGTAAATGTAATCAGCATTCATTTAGGCACATTCCTGTGGCCTTAAACTTCATCATGTTGCTTTGGACCCAAAGCAAAGTCCAGGGGAGTATAATGGCAGAAAAGCAAAAATCTTTCTCACCAAGCTGTTCTACAATTAGTTTTAAGTTTGATTTCCACACCATTATGTGTCAACAAAGACCAAAAAAAAAAAAAAAAAAAAAACCCCACAAAAAAAAACAAACTTACTCACCAAAAAAAATCTTGGTCCTTTAAAAAAAAATCAAGGGGGGACGGGGGGCCTTGCTATATTCATAGGTCACAGAGTGGTTTTGTGTGGTTGGTCAAATGTGTCACTTTCCCAAGCAGGGTCTATGGGCCATAACAGGAGGATCCGCTGCACTTGAAAATGTTAAAACTGGACCTCAGAGGCCGAGATCCCTCTCCCTTCACCCAAACAGTATTGTAAACCTTAACATGAAGATGTTAATAAGGAGATGTGTTGTTACTTATATCAGGGTTAAAAATGAAACACAAGGCTGAGCAGGGTGGCTCATAGCTGTAATCCCACCACTTTGAGATGCAGTGGCAGAGGGAGGATCACCTGATCCCAGGGGTTCAAGACAAGCTTGGGCAACATAACAAGATGCCGTGTTTAAAAAAAAAATAGTCCGGGCGCTGTGGCTCACACCTGTAACCCCAGCACTTTGAGAGGCTGAGGCGGGTGGATCACAAGGTCAAGAGATCGAGACCATCCTGGTCAACATGGTGAAACCCCATCTCTACTAAAAAAATACAAAAAATTAGCTGGGCATGGTGGCGCGTGCCTGTAATCCCAGCTACTCAGGAGGCTGAGGCAGGAGAATTGCCTGAACCCAGGAGGCGGAGGTTGCGGTGAGCCGAGATCGCGCCATTGCACTCCAGCCTGGGTAACATGAGTAAAACTCCATCTCAAAAAAAAAGAAAAAAAAAAAATTACAACAATTAGCCAGACATGGTGGCGCACACCTGTTGTCCCAGCTACTCAGGAGGCTGAGGCAGGAGGATCACTTAAACCCAGGAGGTGGAGGTTGTGGTGAGCCAAGATTACGTGACTGCACTCCAGCCTGGACAACAGATCAAGACTCTGTCTCAACAAACAAAATAAAAATAAAAATAAATAGCAGGTGGTGACACACACCTGTAGTCCTAGTTACCTGAAGGACTGAGACAGAAGGATTGCTTGAGCCTAGGAGGTTGAGGCTGCAGTGAGCCGTGATTGTACCACTGCACTCCAGCTTAGTGAGACCTTGTCTCAGGGGGAAAAAAAACACGGAAGATTCACTAGCTCAGAGTTCTATTGTGAGAGGGAGTCATTCATTACCTTAAATGAGAGTGCTCCCTGCCGAATATGAGGATGTAGCAGTGCTGATGTAGACCCGGGTCCTGCTACAATGTACAGGGCCGAGGACACCCCCAGATCCCAGCACCAGACAAATTATTAGAATGGACAGCAGAGGAAGAAAGAATGAAGGATCTTGCTAATTGTTTCCTCTTGCACGGACAAGCTCTTCAAGCCCTGCCGATATTTAAAATCTAGTGATTTATAAACACATGTGGGCCAGGTGCAGTGGCTCACACCTGTAATCCCAGCACTTTGAGAGGCTGAGGCAGGCAGATCACCTGAGGTCAGGGATTCAAGGCCAGTTTGGTCAAAATGGTGAAATCCAATCGCTATTAAAAATACAAAAATTAGTTGGACATGGTGGCGGGCACCTGAAATTCCAGCTACTCAGCAGGCTGAAGCAGAAGAATCGCTTGAACCCGGGAGGTGGAAGTTGCATGAGCAGAGGTCGTGCCACTGTACTCCAGCCTGGGCAACAGAGCAAGACTCCATCTCAAAAAAAAAAAAAAAAAAAAATGTGGATGCCACCATGCCAATAGTAAACATGAACTGCTATCCAAAATAATGGTATCAGCAAACTGTCCGCCACGCCAGGAGAGGTGCAGAGAATAAAATAAGCCAAATTCATGTTCTTCGCCACTTGCCCAGAAAAGTCTCAGTGACTTTTTTTTTTTTTTGTAATTTTGACCATCATACTAATAAGAAATGGTATGAAGTCAGAAAGTGTCTTTCCACAATTCAAGCTCATTACCAGTAAGAGGTAGATAATGGTGTGTCTCCCCACCTCCCCACTCACCCACACTTTCCTTTTTGATTTCACACAATGGAAGATGACATTTGTACTGTTTTGAACATCTTGAGTTTTCAATTAATATTTTTTCACTGGATATCAACATTTAGACATTTAGTTAAGTCACAAATGGGAAGACATGATTTTTAAGGTGGGCTGTCTATGTGTTATCTGGCCCTGAAGCTTTCTGCAAACCTCCTTCACTCACTGTTCTTCCCTCCCTTCCTTTCTTTTCCCCCATAGAATGTAACTAAGTGTGGCACAATCCAAGTTAAAAATGTAATCAGGGAAAGTGCTTCTGTCAGGTGGTCAGCTGCTGATCACAGCCAGCGAGCCAACGCCAGGCTCCATCAAGCGTGATGACACATTTGGCATCTGTCTTGAATAGTGACGAAGAAAGAGCACAGGGAAGAAGAAAAAGGAAGTCTTCACTATTTCAGGCCATAAACGAACAAGCCAGAATTGTGCTGCTGTTAGTCCTTTGCTTTAATAAGTGATGACGCAGGGCAGGCAGGCGTACCTGGAGCACAGGTGATGGTTCACATTTTTTCTCTCCTTTGCATTCTTATACCCCGAGCTTCCGATTTCTTCCCTGGCCCACAAGCTGCCCAAATCGGACAACAGCTGTCTTTTGATACGTCAGAATTGATCAGCTTGGCCAGTTTTGCTCACATATCATTGGCCTTTTGGCCACATATCTTTGGTCAGTTTCCCTGTAACCCTCTGGTCTTGACAGGCAAGGTCAAACAGGATCAGATCTCCTTAGTGTAGAAACTCCAGTAGCTACAACACAACCATGAGTTTTTGCTTTCTCTTCTATCTTGACATCTTCCTCAGATGTCAGGAAGGTTATATTATCTTGAAATTACAGATTCAGCATTTCTTAGAAAAGTGTGGGGGGAGGACGAGGGGGTTTCCCACATCAAAAGTTCCTGTCTTCTCCCGCCACCCCACCCCCACCGCCCCGCTGCCACCGCCATCCTCCTACCTATTGCTGTCACTGAAAGAAAACCTAGTCCTGGGTCTCTCTTTGAAAATCACAGCAAAGAGACTGGGCAGCTTTTCAAAAATGACAGTTGGTCAAAGGGAGTAAATTGGCTGAAGTTTTTCTGGGGGATGCTTTGAGAAGATCCAGAAGCCAAGGCAGATAGAGGAGAAGGGGGAGAAGAAGTCAGGAGAGACGAAAAGGAATTCAGCTAGAAGTAAGAATTGCCTAATCTAGGAGCTTGGGGAAGGTAAGCTACTCCCTGCCCCAGCCCCCCACAGCATCTGTTGAAGGAAAAATACAACCTCTCCATTCTCACCCCCATCTTTTTATCTCTGTCCTGCTTATCTTGTGCTTGCCCTAGAACGCTCTGAACCTAGATTACTTGTGAACAGGCAGTTCAACCTGCAGGCTGGATGAAAATCCAGGTTC